GTAATGGCGGGTTTTTCTGGAACAGCTTCACCTAAGCATCAGTTCCGTAAAAAGGGAAGTCCCAGGAGCACACTTCCTCATCCTTTCCGTTCTTCACCGCTCCCCTCTCCCCTCAAATGTACGTTACTTAGTCAATCGGCAAAGGATCTACGCCATTTAGTCCTTATATCCACCTTATCCTAGTTCTCCTCCCTCGCCTCGAACGAAACCCGCCACATACCACTCCCACTTCCAACCCCCACATTCAAATTGCCGCCATCCGCCGTGGGGCAGTCCTACCTCCCGTCGGCAGAAAAAATTTTTTGCGGCTTGTGTATGAGACGAGCCGAGCCGAGTTATTGTAATTGCCTTAAACCCAGCTCTCGGGTATGCGTGGCGCCCACGCACGGACTCATCAAAGTTTTTTTCGGGTAAATTGCTAACTCGAGAATTTGAAAAGCTAGGCTGTAATTTTAAATGCATATTCCCTGCCCGCCAAAGTCTCATTGAGCTCAAACCCAAACTCCGGGTATGCGTAGTACCCAAGTACGACCCGCCAAAATTTTTTCCGGGGAAGTCGCTAGCTCGCGATCCAGAGAAGCTGGAAAGCTGAAATTTTAAGGAGATGTTCCCCGTCCGCACAAGTATCAGTGAGCTCAAAACCAGCCCCGGGTATGCGTAGTGCCCACTTACGGGGCCGCCAAAGTTTGTTTCGGGTAAGTTGCTAACTTAGGAAACTGAAAAGCTAAAGGATTGGAATTTTAAGAGGACGTTCCCCATCCAAGTAGGTGTTAAAGAGCTCAAACCCAAACACCGGATATGCGGACATACAGGCTCGTGAAAGTTTTTCTCGGGTAAGTTGCTAACTCGAGGGCCAGGAAAGCTAGAAAGCTGAAATTTTGAGGGGCGTTTTCCTGATAGTTCTGGCGGCCAGTCCTAATTTGTTTCCTAGAAGCATTTGCCGGAAAAACCAGTGCCGGCAGCGACAAAAACTGCGGGGAACAATGCAAAAAACGCATCTTCGCACGGGCAGCCCGTGCGTTGGCCAATTATTCTTGTTTGAAATCTAAATTTGGTCTGTAAACCAACAATAATCAGCGATTTCCTGCTCTTTTGCTTCACTCACAGTTATGCGGGGCTTCACTTCCCCGTGGTCCACGTAACCGCATGCACGCTGCAGCAGAGCACCCGATGCTCCGACCACCCTCAGTCGCGGACTGTGTCCTTTACGACACATGTTACGCTAACCTATCAGGTTTTTCTGGCCTTCGGCCTCAATGAACAGTCCGGTTACTTTTATTCGGTTGGCCATTTCATTTTTTTCAAGTACTACTGTCCGAAATCTCTTCATCTTCGTCGAGCCTGCGTCCTTCTGCTGCGGGGGAGGTGATGGGTGAAATGAGAGCGAGTCTAATTCTTCCACAATGCAATTCTAGAATCCTTGT